GTCCGCCTCCGGAGCGGAGCAGGACGAGGGCGAGCCGGCGAGCAAGTTTAGTTTTGTGTTCCCCGACGAAAAAAAAGGCGGGACCGCGACGGCATTAAGCAGCCGAAAATCGATGCGCAGACGGATATCGGGGCGGGAGAGGGGGGGCGGATCTTGTATGAGATGGGGCGGGAGGATGATTTTGATGAGGAAGAGGATGAGATATAGGCGTCATGGTACACCGCCACCGCCAAAAAGACCACCCAAGTTGGGGAGGACTCGACTGCTGCTCCGGGGTGACGAGAAGAGATGAATGAAGAAATGGCCAGTACTCAGTAATTAGGCAGTACCAAGTGATGACGGTCAGTTCTCAGTGATTACGGTCAGTGCTCGGTGCTTAGGTCAGTACGCAGTGATGATTCAGTACCCAGTGACTATCATGCCAACGTCTAAGTATCCCCCAGCCAAGTCCATTCTATTGTCTTGTGCAGCAAGCCTGAACCTATCCTACACCATTTTGCTCCACCGCGCAACCTCACCTTCTCCTCTTGGCCTTGCCCTTGTCGGCCCCCGAGGCCTTCTCGGCGGCGGCCTCCACCGTGTGCGTCGCAGCGCCGTCGATGGGCTCGGCCTGCTTGTCGAGCAGGGCCTCCCCGTCGAGCAGGGCCTTGGCCTTGGCGCGGTCGGCCTCGTCGTCGTCCTCGCCGCCGCCCTGGCCAAACTCGTTGACGCGCGAGTAGTCGGTCGTGTAGGCCCAGCGCTGGTAGATGTAGACGAAGAAGATGACGTCGTCGCGAAAGGTGGCGAGGCGGTGCAGGATGGGCATCTTGATGGTAAAGGCAAAGAGGTCGTCGATGAAGGTGTTGAGGAACTTGTACATCATGGCCTTGGCGGGCATGTGGGCAACGCTCTTGAGGCGGTAGTTGATGTAGAGCGAGGGCACCATCATGAGGAAGCCGTAGGCGTAGACGGAGCCGACGAGGGTGGCGATCATGTACGAGTACCACGACTTGTGCTCGTCGTAGACGAGCGAGTAGACGGCGTAGGCGATGAGCAGGGGCACGCCGGCCATGTACATGTACTTGAAGGCAATCTCGTCGTACTCCTTGGTCTTCTCCTCCGTGTCGCTGAGCTTGTGCTTGTCCTCAAAGGCGACGCGATAGGGCAAGAGGGCGCCGGCGTCGGCCGTCGTGACGCGGACGTTGACGACGGTGGTGATCTTCCAGAGCTCGATGAGGATGCCCATGGCCTGGGAGCCGAGGATGACCCAGCTCGTGTTCTCCGAGTTGTCGATGAGGTAGAGCAGGATGACGGCCTGCATGAAGGCGTTGGCGAGGATGGAGCGGACCGAGATGCCGACATTGTCCTTCTTCTTGCGGTAGTGGGCAATGTCGGAGCCAAAGGCGAGCATCTCGAGGATGATGTGGGCGACGGTGACGACGGCCGTGATGGCGAGCAGGTAGGGGTTGGAGTCGAGGAGGATCTCCTTGACCATCTCGACCTCGGTGCCGTCGCCGCCGCCGGGGGCGGCGTTGCCAAAGGCGGCCTGGCGGGCCGTTTCCTTGCTGTTCAGCTCGATGGACGACATGAGGCCCATCTGCCAGTAGCGCAGGTTGCCGAGGTCAATGTGGATGGGCAGCTCGGTGACCGTGTCGTTGAGCAGGGTCATGTGCGTGCGCAGCTGCCAGAACTTGTTGACGAAGAGCATGGGGTCTGGGAGGGGGGGGGGGGGGGGGGTCAGCTGGGATTTTGGGAGGAAGACTTGTTGCATGTCTACTCACAGTACCACGAGTTCTGGCCGGTGCCGTCGCGGGCGTCGGTGGGTTCGAGGTGCAGGAAGTGGCGGGTCGCCGGGTGCAGGCTGCGGTGGTCGAGGACGCCCGAGTCGGGGATCGTGGACAGGGTGATGTTGGGGTGGTAGTAGCTGGCGATGACGGGGCCGCTGGGCTCCTCGTCCTGGGCGGCGTCGGCATGGGCGTCGCCGCTGTCCAGGAGGGAGCGCGTCTTGGAGACCTTCTTCTTGGGGAGGTACTGGGTCAGAGGGTAGGCGAAGTGGTAGGCCGAGGCGACGTCGAAGCCGGCGACGTAGGGGTCGGGCTGCTCGCCGGTCAGGGCGAGGTAGAAGTGGCCCCAGAGGGTGACGTTGTGCTGGACGGAGGCGGGCACGGTGAAGGTGGCGTCGGCGGAGCGCTTGTCGCTGTAGTTGCCGAGGTGGAAGTTGGTCTCGCGCAGGACGATCTTGTCGGCAGGCGTCTTGGCGAGGGGCTCGGGGCGGGGCGAGTCGGACAGGGTGACGATGATGTCGATGTGGCTGTCGAGCGGCCACATGGGGGCGATGCGGGCCGGGTTGGGATCAAAGGTGGCGCCGTCGGCGAGCGTCTTGGGACGGAGGACGTAGGGCGGGATGCCGCCGAGGTTGGCGGGGACGGTGTAGACCTTGCCGTGGAAATCGGTGACCTCGGTGGCTCCGCCGACGGGCTTCTTGAGGAAATAGTTGGCGCCAAAGTTCATGGCGGACCAGGTGGCGAAGCCGAAGAGGAGCTTCTGGGTGGTGCTCATGGTGAAGCCCTAGGTTCGTCAGTCGACTGAATGGCTGCATTGTCTCGATGGCTCCATTGTGTCAATGGCAAGAAGAGGGCGACGGCCAAGACTCACGCCCTGTTGTGGAGGCTGCTGGGGAGCACCGGCAGGCGCAGGCGCAGGCCCGGCGCCGCCGACGGCAGCGAGGGCATCGACGTGCGGCATGATGGGAAGCCTCTGGGAGCCTCTGGGATTGTCGGCAGGACTGTTGATGGATCGAGGGTGCTCGAATGCAGGTCCTGTGGCAAGCCGTTGTCGAAGGACAAAGCGATCTTGCGGAGGGAGGATGCGGCAATAGTGATGAGGGCACGATGGAAGTCGAAAGAAGGACCACCAAATCACGGTCGTGATAGATTGCGAGACGGTGGGGACGCCTGGCCTCAGTGCGGTGTCCACTGTGAGTGCAGCCTCGTGGCAGGCTTGGCAGGTGTGGCAGGCTTCGTGCCCTGGGCGCAGCAGTCAGGCCTGCCGGCGGCATCGGCGAATCAGGGGGCGCCGGCAGCCCAGCCACGATCGAGCCGGCTGAACCACGGCAGTCTACCAGCAGTCTACCAGCAGTCTACCAGCAGTCTACCAGCAGTCTCCCAGCAGTCTGACCCTGTGGTCCTAGATCCTGGGCCACTGCGGTTGCTACATAGTACCTCCCTACAGTTGGGTCCTACCTCCCTGGGTAGGTACCTAGGTAGGTAGGTACCTAGGTAGGTAGGGACCCAAGCCACCGAGCTTGCGCTTTACTTGGAGCTGGAGGGCTCATCCACGCCGCAAACTGACGTAACCAGCAATCAATGACTCGCAGCTCTTGAAACGTCCAAGCCCATCACCAGACCATCATCACCTGCACCATCAACCCCAAGAGCTGGATCCATCGGCGGATCCCTGGCATCCTCGAGGAGCTGGATCCAACTCGGCCCGTTGCTACGCGCTCGCGCTCGCTCGGTTCCTGGCAGCACAATGTCTCAACCGTCAGGACCGGACGCCGGACTACACCTACGGCCTGTGGCCTGTGACCTGTGACCCCAATACAATGGCTTTGGTGGGGGGGTGAGGCGCGTTCGGCCTTCGCCACTCTTTGACCTCCTCGACTTCGTTGGGGCTTCTTCTGTCCATGCTTGACACTACATATATTGGATGCAGACCGCCTTGACGTGCTCGATTCGACCTTCTTCGTCCAGTCGCTTTCTTCGGTGAAGTCGCTTTCCCAAAGTCACTCTCTACAAGACGGTCCTTCCGGCAGAACCCCTTCCCAGGCCCCACGCCGTCCAGCGACCGCCTCGTCCTCATCCTCGTCCTCATCCTCGTCTTCGTTCCCAACTCGCCTTCTGACTCACGATACGCCAACGCTCTCGAGCCGACAAGACTTGCATCACATCCACATTCTCTTCAGGCTCTCGTCTCACAGCCGCCTGGCACCGCACGCTGCGCACACACGTCGACGCGACCACGCCCACGCACACGCACACGCACACGCACACGCACACGCAATGGCTTCCGGCGGCCCCTCCCCCCTCCCGTCCTTCCCCGCCTCCCGCTCCGGCACGCCCTCGTCCGCCACGGCCAACGGCACCAAGAGGACCAAGATTTGCGTCTACTGCGGTGCCTCGGCCGGCCTGAAGCCCACCCACATGGAGGCCGCGCGCGCGCTGGCCAAGATCATGGCCGAGAACAACATTGACCTGGGTGCGTACAGCTTGTCTCCCATCTCATCATCGGCCCGTTCCTGCGATGGAACGACCTCGCACAAGCACACCTCGCACGAAGCGTCCCCCACACCATACAAATCCACCCACGTAGTCGTACTACCTGCTTTGGCCATCACTTGTACAAAACTGACATGCAACAGTCTACGGCGGCGGCACAGTCGGCCTCATGGGCGAGGTGGCCAAGTCGCTCGTGGCGCTCGCAGGCCCCGACGCGGTCCACGGCATCATCCCCGAGGCCCTCGTGCGCTTCGAGCGCGACGACACGTACCAGTCGGTCAACGGCGACAACATGCGCATCCCCGAGGAGGCCGTCTACGGGCGCACGACGGTCGTCAAGGACATGCACACGCGCAAGCACATGATGGCCCAGGAGGTCTTCGCCGGCGGGCCCGGCTCGGGCTTCCTCGCCCTCGCCGGCGGCTACGGCACCATTGAGGAGGTGCTCGAGACGGCGACCTGGAACCAGCTCGGCATCCACGACCGCGGCATCTGCCTGCTCAACATTGACGGCTTCTACGACGGCATCCTCGCCTGGATCCGCCGCGCCGTCGACGAGGGCTTCATCCGCGGCGGCAACGCCGACATCCTCGTGACGGCGCCCGATCCCGCCAGTGCCGTCAAAGCCCTCGCCGAGTACAAGGCGCCCTCGTCGACGTTTAAGCTCGAGTGGAACAAGACGTGAGCGCCATGCTGTCGTTGTGGACATGGTCGAGGGAGGACCGAGCAGTCTGACGCAGCGGCGGGTGTGCTTGTGGGGCCGGGCCGCCTTTGTCTGCGGATATGGCTCGCCCGGTGGCCCGGTTTTCACGGTTTTGTTGCTGTCTTCTCCTGAGGGTCTGAGGGTGACTGGCTACCGGACGAGTGTCGGGAAAGGCGTACAGGTTTCGGTCGGGTAGCATGACGCAGGCCATGTATGTACGGTAGCATTTAGACAGACGGTGTTTTGGATATTGACACTTTCTCTCTTCTCTCAGAGGTGCGTCCCTTTAGTGCCCAGATTTGGCCTCAGTATACGTTAATCACCGCCTGCCAAGCTGCTTAAAGGAGCTTGAAGGTGGATCTCGGCCTGGTACAAGCTCCGTCCATGAGTAAGGGCGGATATGCCTGTGAAATATAGGTACCGTACAGGCATCTAGATATACTGCCCACTATATCCTTTGACTTGAATTGGTGACATAATTTCTATCACTCGGCTATCGGTGTTACGAAGTACTGAAGCCAAATTTGGGCACCAAGGGTTAAGTGGGATCCATGAACAGAGCAGAACATACGCCACACACAACACACGGCAAGACACGGCCGTGTACATGCCAACCAATACACCGAGCCTAGAGGCGCTGACGCCACGGAACTGATCGAATGAATTCACCTTGAAACAGAGAAACCTGCCCCCCCCGAAAGACCTGATAAACTCCCGTAAACCAGCGATCAACCAGGCTATGGCTATTTTGACGGTCCAAGGACGGTGCGGCGCGGGCGATTTTTGTCTACATGGATTTATAGTGGCGTTCACAATATCACATCATCATCATGATCATCATCCTTCTCATTCTTGGGCTGACCCTTCTCATGCTTGGGCTGCGCTCCGTAGTCATAAATGGCGAGCGATCAGGTAAAGACAACAAAGCACGCTGCCTGACATGATGCGCAGCACAGACGATGCATCATGACGGCTCATTCCCTCTACGGCCATCTAATAGTACAATGCTTGCCGTCCCTCGGCTTGTGACCCCGGCATCCTACTCGTCCACCGTCATGCGGTCCCCGTCGCCCTCGCCCTCGCCCTCGCCCTCGGCCTCGCCCTCACCGTCGGCTGGCGCGGCCGCAGCGTCGATCCACACCTTGACGTCCTGTCCGTCGAGCACCTGGAAGGGCTCGAGCTGCTTCTTGCCGTCGGCAAAGCCGACGGTGGCGATGCTCGTGTTCTCGACGGTCAGCTCGCGGTCCTGGACGAGGCTCTCGCGCAGGGCGCGCAGGCCGTGGCGCACGAGGTCGTCGCGGCTGCAGGCGGCAAAGGCGTCGACGTTGCGCTCGAGGTAGGTGCGGGCCATCTGGGAGCGGGCGCCAATGGCAAAGGCGGCCATCTCCTCGGTCATGCCCGAAGGCTGGAACTCGAAGAGGTGGGGCCCCGTCTCGTCGACGCCGGCGACGAGCAGGCCGACGCCGTAGGGCCGCTTGCCGTACATCTGCGTGTTGATCTGGGCCTTTTCGCCGATGAGGTCGACGAGGGCGCGCAGCGGCATGGAGCGGCCGTAGGTCATGCGGTGGCCGAGGCACTGCTGCTTCATAAAGTTGGAGAGGACGCGGGCGTCCGAGGTGAGGCCGGCGATGGCGATGCCGGCGTGCTCGTCGACGGAGAAGAGCTTCTTCTGGTACGAGGAGAGCTCCTCGGCGTTGCGCTGCGCGTGTTAGCGGTGTGGCATGGGCATTGCCGCGCGTAGATCGCCGTGCAGCGTAGGTCGCCAGTGCATAGGCAGCACAGGCAGCACAGGCAGCACAGGCAGCACAGGCAGCACAGGCAGCACAGGCAGCACAGGCAGCACAGGCAGCACAGGCAGCATAGGCAGCATCGGGCAGGCAGCATACCTTGACGGCGACCAGGACGGCGTGTGTTTTGCTGACGATGCCGACCACGACGGAGCCCTGCTTGACGGCCTCGGCGGCATACTCGATCTGGAATATCCTGCCCTGGGGCGAGCTGTCGCAGTGTTAGCGGGGAGGCCGGCGGTGGGCGAGGCGTGGCCGTGTGAGGCACGCAGGAGGGAACGCGTACAATGTGACCGAGTCGTTGTCGTAGTTGTTCCTGAACATGCTGGTGCCGGATTGTGTGTGTTGTTGGATGGATTCGGGGGCACAGGCAAGGTCGGAGGGGTAGATTCGGGATGGGCGGTGGTGATGGTTGGGTGTGGTTGTGGTTGTGGTTGTGGTATGGTCTGGTCAGGTCGGAGGGAGCTTCATCAATCGAGCTGCCGTCGAGCAGCGCCCAGCGCCAGGCGCCAGGCAGCTCGAGCTTCGTAGCATCTCGGCGGGGCTGTGGCGTCGCTGTGGCTGTGCCATGACACCTTTTGGTGCATGGGCTGCTTTCAGGCATATGCACATAGTAAGCATGCAAGTAAGAGGATCGGCCGAGGTGACGTTGCTCCGACCAAGAGGCTGCGACATGGACATCGCCAACTTGCACTCCAGCCTCAGCCTCTCCAGCTTCCAGCTTCCACCTCGACCATCATCCCACCATCCGCACCGGACCGCGCGCCAGAAGCTGCAAGCTGTCGCTGCCGATTCTTGACGATCAGACACATCGAGACATATCAGCAGCGCTACCGCCACCGCCGCCGCCACCGCCGCCATGCCGACCGCCGGCCTCAAGACCATCATCGCCCTCTCGTTCGTCCTCGCCGTCGGCTTCCTGCTCGTCATCCTGTCGTGCGCCCTCTACAACGTCTACTACCCGCTGCTCGTCGTCGCCACCTACGTCCTGGCCCCCGTGCCCAACTGGATCTGCTCGCGCTGCGCCAACCCCGACGACTTTGTCGAGAGCTCGGGCGGCGCCATCCTCGACCTCGGCCGCTTCTGCACCGCCTTTCTCGTCGTCATGGGCATTGGTGGGTTTGTCCTCTGCTTCTGCCTAGCCCGTATGCTGACCTGTGTAGCGCTGCCCTTTGTGCTCGCCCACGCCGCCCTCATCCAGACGGGCGCCCTCGTCATGTCCGTTGTCGGCGGTCTGCTGATCTACGGCACCATCATCAGCTTTGGCATGTTCTTCCAGGAGGAGCAGGAGTTTTAGCTCCGGGGGCGGGGGCGGGGGCGGACGCAGAGGCGAGGACGAAGATTTCACGAGGGCCTACGGGTCTGTATTAGTACATGGGACGGCAGGGTATGCGACGGCAGGCTAGGCGGGACGGAGACGGAGGAAACATGATGAACATGCATACAGTATATGTAGGACAAGGTCATTTAGCATGGGGTCGAATCACAAAGATGCAAGTTTACCCTGAGATGTAGTCCTGAGATTTAGTCCTGAGATCCTGAGATTTAGTCCTGAGATTTAGATCCTGAGATCCTGAGATATAGATCCTGAGATATAGATCCTGAGATATAGATCCTGAGATATAGATCCTGAGATCCAGAGTCCTGAGACTTTGATGCCTGAAATAATCCTGCCGATACGTTGAGTATCCCAAACGCCAGCCCATGCACCTCTATCCGTGTTGAGTCTCGCCAGCCAACTCCATACACTCCCAATCTATTCCAGCCATCTGTCCAGCCGTCTGTCCAGCCGTCTTCCAGCCGTTACTGTCAGCTGCTTCAGCTATCAGCTACTGCGAAAACACGCCCAGCGGCCCCGCCAGCTTGGTGAACATCTCCTCCGTCTCGCCCTCGGGCGTGCTGAGGATCGTCACGGCGCCGCCGGCACCAATGTGCCAGACGTCGCCCCCCTCGCCCTCCTCGCCCTCCTCCTCGTCGTCCCACCGCCACATGGTCCGGATGGTGACGCTCCAGTCGCCGCGGCCCGTGACGTCCATGTACCCGATGACGCCCGAGTACAGCCCCCGCTCGCGCCCCTCGAGCTCGGCGAGCAGCTCGCAGCTCCTCTTCTTCGGCGCGCCCGTCATGCTGCCCGGCGGCAGGCTCGCCGCCAGCACGTCGAGGCCCGTGTGGGGGGCATCTGCCTGCGGCTGTATCGGGCCGCGACGGCGTTCGGGCAGCCGGGCGTCGACGACGGTGATCATCTGAAAGACAGAGGCGTACTCCTCGACGCGCATGAGGTGCGGCACGGCGACGCGGCCGGGCCCGCACACGCCGTGCAGGTCGTGGCGCACGAGGTCGACGATCATGAGGTTCTCGGCCTCCTCCTTGGGCACGTGCAGGATGGCCTCGGCGGCGGCGAGCGTCGCGACGGCCGCCGACTTGCGCACCGTGCCCTTCATCGGCCGCATCGAGCAGCCGCCGCGCGCGTCGTGCTCGAGGAACCGCTCCGCGACGACGACACGACCGTCGCGCCCGCCGAGCCGCAAAAAGGCGCCAAAGGGCGCCGGC